TCAGTTCCACCAGAAACACTTTTTTCTTTACAGGCTCTAGTTTCCACCTTCTCTCCTAACATGCAAAAGAAGACACAGGAAATTCCATGATATTATTTTTCTTGGGTTAAAAAAAACCACTAAGAACCATTTCAATTAAATATTTCAAGACCAGGTCACAAGATTATTGCATATTTTAATCAGACTATTATGTGGGAGGGACATTAGGGAAACAAGATTCTTGTTGATGGATAAATGGATAAAGAAAAGTTGGGGTATGTTTTTGACGTATTTGCATAATGAGATATAATTCAGCCACAAAAAAGCATGAAATCCTGTGTCATCTGTGACAGCACAGACAGATCTGGAGATCCTTACGTTAAGTGAGGCAAACAGAGAAAGACAAGCATTGCATGATCTCATGCATGTGGAATCTAAAAAAGTTGAACTCACAGAAGTTGAAAGAGGAGCAACAGTTACCAGAGACTGAAAAGGATAGGTAGGTAGGTGAGGAGGAGAGCTTGACCAATGGCTATTAATATTGTTTGAATGGAGGAATAAATTCTGGTGTTCTATGGCCCAGCAGGGTGAATATAATTAACAGCAATATATTGTACTTCTAGAAGACTTTGACTGTACTCACCATGAAGAAAGGGCAGTGGAAATGGCTATGCTAATTACTCTTAGTTGATCATTACCCAACATCTCTTTGTGCCTCATAATATGTACAAATAGAATGTGTTCATCAACAAAATCTATGCTATCATAAGCATACAAATTCCAATAAAAACAGAATTCTTCTGGACTCCAGAAACACCATTATGTTGTAAAGTAGATTGTGACTGCTTGCACAATGGGGGAATGAAGAGTCTGCTTCAGGACTTGAAGAGCGATGGAGACCCACATACCTAGGACCGTAGGAATGGGCAAGGAAGGAGGAACGGGCTCCCCCAGCGTCACTGAAGATGGAGGGTAAGAGGTACTGAAATACAGAGACTCACCCTGTGGGCCTCCCCAGGACAGACCAGAAGCATTATAGGCTCCACTGTGAAGTGATGCAATAGAAAATGTTCATAATATCATTTATGAAAAAAATCACAAGGATGGCTTCCAAACAGTCACAGCAGGTAAAGGTTAGGTGAGTTGCATGAGACGAAAGCCCGGGTCTATTTGTTGAACTACACTGACAGCTGGTTAAGAAGAAGGCTGCAAGGAAGGCACCTGTGGGCTCTGAGGCAGCACCTCGAGACCCCAGCCACACGTAGATGCATGCTACACCGTGGCAAGGGGAATCCTGCCAACGGCAAAGGAAGAGGGTTGAATACTGTGGCTCTTCAATTACAAGCAAAAACAGCAAAGAGCAAAACCCCAACCAGCCAACCAACCAACCAACCAATCAACCAAACTCAAGAATGACTCTAGGCTGGAGAAGATCACATTACCTCTGTGTATTTGATTTAAGATATCAGTTATCTACGGGGATATATGTGTATGTCTTGTTCTGTTATTAATCTCGTCAAGTACAGACTGTGGTTGTAAGCTATTTTCTATTGAATGACACTATTCTAAGATAAAATATATCAAAATTTTAGCAGATAACAACTTTTCCAAATGGTGATCAATCAACAAATGGAGAGGTAAAAAGGTGTTCTTAAGTTTGTAAGATTCTTGAGGGTAAGGGACCAGCCCTTTCATATGTTTACCAAAGCTGAAGAGGGTCCCTGCCTCACCAAGGACAGAGGAAATGCTTCTCAGTGTGTGCTTTAAGCAAGAACGGAGGAACAGCTGGGTGAGAGTCAGACTGTGTGTGTATGTGGGTGTCTCAGTGTGTGCACATAATAGAGATTTGTAACTAATACACCAAATGAAAGCCAGAATTCCACACAGAATGATAACTAGCCCAGTCCTCCTTATCTGCCCTGAATCTCATTGCTGAAGAAATTCCAGTTGCCTTTTAATTGTACATGGTAGCCACCTGTTATGGTTTAGCTCTAGACTGTCTCCCAGAGCCTCTGCTCTCAGAGGTGGGGCTTTTCCAGAGGGCAGTATAGCTGACCTGCTGTTAGGAGGGTGGGGACTGGTAGGAAGAGGCAGGTCCCCGGGCTGTGATCTGAGAAGGTAGGTAGCTTTCCTTCCCTGGCTCCTTCCTTGTTTCTCTGCTTCCTGGTTGCCTTACTGTGAGCACATGTCCTCAAGCCAGGCCCTTTAACTATGCCTTTTCTGCCTTGGAATTGGTGGACCACAGACTGTAACCATGAGCCCAAATAAACCTCTTTTCCTTTAAGGTTTTGTATTGGGTAATGTGTCTCAGCAACAAGAAAGTGACGGAGACATCAGTCCAGGGGTAGCATAGTTTAAAGTCCCTAAGAAGAGCTCACTGTTAGAGTTGCAGTGTGTACACAGACATGTGAATGTGAATGACAGCAGTACTCATGGTAATAATATTTGTATAAACATTGAAATGCTCATTTCTACACTATATTACGACATATCAGGTAATTTAATTTACACAGCATCTAGGTTCCTAATTTTGATGATGAAGAAATTGAAGTACAGAGTGTTCAGCATCTTGTTCAAGGTCATATAGCCAATAAAGTGATAAAAGAAATTGAAATGACTATCCTAGTTGATTTCTACCATCTTTCTAAGATCTGCTGGCCACTGACTGTATCGAGAGAGGACCTGGGCTTTTACTTTCCAAAACCACCTCCTCAATCTCTGAGCTTTCATACACGCTATTAATGAACTTGAACAAATCTTGTTCAATTTAAAAAATCATAATGTTTCAAAATCAAACAACTGTGATATATCATCAATTGGCAATTATGGCTCACTGAGAGGCTGGTATCTAATTGATTTCACACAAATATATCTCTTCACGATTCAGTTGTTATAGCTCATTAATTATCTTATTTGGTTCCATACAGTGAACTTACAAAGAATGGGATATTTTTGCTCAAGGAATCAGGTAGTTCTCCCAATAAAATTTCTGCAGTCACACTGCCTGGTTTTTTCTGACTAGTTCTGATTTAATAAATTCCTATCACTCTATCTCACAAATTAGCAATCCAAATGTCTTACAAATTTCAATATTTTATTGGCTAAATTCATTATCCTGCCAGAAAGAAACAAAAACCCTTTGCCTGACCATGTGTTTTCATTAGACTATAAAATATGGTTACCGTGGAACTTAGACCCCGCTGACCCAGTGCATGGCTGTGGTATAGTGCAAGGGCCCCATCCTGTTTCTGTTAGCACAGAAAGAAACGGACACAAAGAGATTAGCAACGCCCAGGGAGGCTGGAGAGACAAAATGGGTTTTTCAGGTGGGAATCAAAACAGCAATCCTTTGGAGACACAGATAAAAAAATGCAATTTAATCAATGTGCCTGTTTCCATGCAAACAAAAGAAAAGCGCAGGCATTCATCATTTCGTTTAATAACAACCATCACAGCCCTGTGAAATTGCTACTCATTCTGAGAAGATGGATAGCATGTGCTGTATCTGTCTGCATCTGTTTTCTGCTGAGCTGAGCCTGCCTGCCGCTAGCTCCACCGTTTCCTGGTGCATTTTGCTTACTGCCGCATTATAATAAATCGGCGGGCTGCTATGGGTTGTAGTTCCTGTGTATCTATGTGTCATTTATGGTTTCATTTAGGACTTTTCAGGTAAATGCAATGTTTGACTATTCTCCCTAAATAAAAGATATTTTCTTTAAAAAAGAAATATGTCTCCATATAGATACACTTACTATACATATAAAGAGAGAGAATAAATTGTGAACCTCAGTAAAAAGAATTAAGGTGTATTATGCACATGTACCAACCCCCCACGATGAAAGTAATTATTATGTACTGCAAACATGTACCAAGAAAAATTTACAAAATTAAAAAAACTGTAAATCTGAGCAAATGTTTATTATCACACATTTGTGAATAAAGCAGAACATCTTAAAGACAACTTAACTTAGGCTCACTTGAGTAATAAGGGAGTGAACTTGTTCCTTGCACTTTTGTGTGTGATAAGCCAATCAGTAATGATCTCTCAGTATTTGTAAGGTCTTGGTAAAAATGAAAGTGTACCGACAAGTCCAATCTCTGCCACTCAAAGTTTGATCTGTAGGGTAAGCCTGGAACTTCCTTTTTCACTGGGAAAGTAAAATCAGGTAAAAATGTAAATCAAATGCACTTTCAACTAGTTCCTTCTTTTGGTGCTGGGAGCCACGAGTAAAACTTGGTAGCCTGAAGAGAAAAGGCCTTGGAGGCCTTGAACTGCATCCACAGAGACAAAACCGATTCTATCCTTGATTCGTAGAGGACATTTACATATGGGCCAGTGGTGACATGCTTGAATAGGGTAACTCAGTGCAGACTATCATGGTTGTATTAATGTAAAAAAAGATACATCAAGAACAATCAGGATCACTTTCTTATACCCAAAAGATTTAATTTAGAAATCACCCAAGTCAGGTAGTTTTCTAAAGGGTGTTCTCTGTAATGAGCACGTTTCCTTTTCCTACTCACCCAGATACAACAGAGGCAAAGATCAACAGCTGCCCTAGGAAGTTTGACTCATACTATGTTTAAAAAGTTGGCTCTGGGGCCTAAAGGGGAATCATAACACAAACTGACCAAATGTACATTGCAGTAAGCCGTTTACAGAATAAGAACCGCACATATGTAGGCTGTGCAAAGTGTAACTCTGGGCCTCGCTGTTGACAGGAACTATGGTGTGAATGGCGCCCCGCAAAGTCCTGCAGCACAGGGATGCTGTAGAGACAGTCTATCACAGACAAGGAGATGAGCTATGGTTTTGCCCTTGAAATCCTGGGGTGCTGGTAGGAGCCGAGTGACATATGCTTCACAACGGCACATGCACATAAATGCAGTGATGTACATGTACTCTGGGTGAAGGTGGAATCTAAAAAGTGAGCTGCACCAGGGGAGTGGAAGACAAGAATATTAACAAGTGTAAAATGCACATATGTAAAATCGTCACACACACAGAGGATGGAGCTTACCTGACATGCTGATGGATGAGTGTGGTTGAGATCCCAATGGGAAGACACTATGTCAACAGACTTTTTGGCCATGTTGAGTAAATTCATCCAGCCTTGGAAAAGTGGTAAGTGGAATGGCGCATTTTCTGAATAGTTAAGGCCTTCAGGAATATTTTCCACCAGGGCAATTCTTAGAAAAGATTTTGAAAAAAACAAACAAAAGCAAGTCAAATTTGAAGCCATTCATCTTTCTTTATATATGCATACAGCGTCCTCTGGACAATATTTTTTAATCCTTCTGAATGTATACTTTGCTCATAATTTACATTTTTTCCACCAAAGCCCTCTTATGCTTCCCCTATGCTAATCTGTGTTCTGAGAGGTCGTGTTATTTTTTCTGTAGTTAACAGTTATTTTTCAGAGAAATCATAATGCACACCCCCAATTTCCAGTTTCAAACTAGCCTTGAAAAAAATCCAGAGCTTCCTAAACGATCATCTTATTCTAGCAATTCTAGTACTATATTCCTGATTTGTCCCTGTGGCAATGCAACTATAAGGAACTCAATTCTTGCGTGCTGCTTCTGCAAGCTCCTTGAGACCAAGAGTGAGTTTTGCACATCTTCAGTTCCTGGTATCATGCTCAGCACACGTTATAATTCAATAGTGATCATTATTGCTTAACACTTCTGCTGATGCTTCTTAGCCTAAGATGTAAAGTGATACTAAGAGGAAAGTAATAAAAACTGTGTGATGCATGGTTTTCTGCAAATCAGGCAATAAAGGATATATAAAATGATAGTAAGAATCAAGTCTTAAATAACATACAGTTAGCAACACCATGGCAAATTTGTTTTCTCTTTGCATTTTTTTTAATATCTTGGCAATACAACCACTGTGACTACTTCCTCTTGGTATAGTACCTGAGGCTGCTTTTTTTTTCCCCCCACTTGAGTTAGGTGGCACATAACTTCTTAATAAAAGAATGAATAAATATTTTCTAGTTTAGCAAATTCTAGATTTTTTTTTGCAATCTCTCCTGTAATTCTTGACAGAGAAACCCCAAACTTTTATGAAGATCCCTGTTAACTGCTTCCAGAACAGAGGTCTGTTTTATTCGCAGTTGCATACCCACAGTTAGACACACAGTTGGGGCTGAGGGAGTAGCTTAGTGGCAGAGCACATGCTTAGCATGTGTGGGGCCCTCAGTGCTATGCCCAGCACCGCATACAAGATCAAAATAACAGAAAAAGCCTAACAAGACAATAGGAAAATAACAGTAGTTAATACATTAGATGTTGTTATTTTTAAAGTAGTTACTCAGAATACAAGCTATGAGCACAAAAATTCTCTAAATGATATTAGCAATACCTTTCTTTTCAATGAACTAAGAGATACTAGTAGTATAACTATCTTATGTTTTTTGTTTTACTTTTTTCCATAAGATTCTCTAATTGGAGCTAACACACACACAATGAATTTTTTTATTCAGTACAGAATTCAGCTCTTCTCAACAAGATTGTTAACTGTTATGCTTTTGAGACTTGTTTTATTTAATAAGCATCAGAAACAAAAACAATACTATTAATAAGATGTTCTTTTGTATTTGATAAACCTAGAATATTCCAGCCAGAATGGGGTTCCAGTGTATGGAGCAGAGATATTCACCATTTTGGGATCCAATCACCCACTACCACCAGCAGACTCATTTAACATTGGTTGCTCCCTCATGAGGACAGGACAAGGAAATCACCATACACAATTGAGAAATGATTACAAAAATGTCCCTGGTCCTCAGGAATTTATGACATAGTGGGTCAGCCTGCCTCATACATTCTTATTCAAACAGGAAGCAGACTCTAGTAAGTGGTGAAACTACGGTAAGAAGTTTAACTAAATGGATACTTGGAATATGGGCAGAAAGAAAACAAAATCAATACTGAATGGGAATAGCTAGAATTGGAGGAATCTGGACCTGAAATGAACCTCCAAAATAGATTTTTTTTTAATGCGAGTAAGCTGGAAGAAAAAGATGTTCTAGGTAGACAGAGGAGTTACATTTACTATTTGTGAATTGGAAGCCAAGGGGTGAGTGAGGTAGGAGAGTTATGGTAAGGACTGGCATGGTGGAGCAAACAGGCAGCACGCACTGAGCCAACACCACAGAGGCTGTGACCAGGGAAGAAGAGTCTTAATTTTGATGCATTTGGTGTAGCTAAGTGTGTTTCCAGGGATAACTCCCGCAGCACACCTGGATACTGCTGGAATGATGCAGAGAGAAACCAGAAGATGACAGGTCTGTAAGCAGTGGAGGCTGTTGAAATAGTTCTGGAAAGAAAAACAAGGAGTTTTGAATTGGCTCACTGGGTGTAAGAAGAGGCAAACAATGGAATTTTTAGAGTCAAATCTCGAAGATGTACTGGTTTGATGGGTGTGAGGAGCAGGTGAAGGAGAAATAGTGCTGACTCAGCTTTTCATGCAGTCAACACGCTGCCTCTGAGCTGGGTTCCAGCACCACTTCCAGGGGTCTCGTAACCTGGACGCCTGTCTGCTTCAAACCATTTTCCATCATAGTTGGGTTAATCGTTAAAACATGTAAACCCAAGCACTCTTCCTAATTAACCTTCCTCTTACTTCCCTACTTGCCCCAGGATGCTGTTGTCCTCAGTCCATGCTAACAGGGGTGGAAAGTATTTGCGAGTCTTACCTGCTTTTTTGTAACTTTACTGGACTCAAACTCTCTCTGAGTTTTACACAATGGGTGCACTGGACGTTTTTTTCTGCCTTCTCTGCTATTCCTTGTAGACTTTGGCATTTCAACTGTATTGTCCCAACCCTAGGTTCTACACTGGTCATTGAGGTTTCTCTCAGCAAATCTTTAAAATTCTCATTTAAATGACTTCTTCTGTTGGTTTTCCTTATGTCCCCAAGGTAGATGACAGCCTCTTATTATCAACTCACATGGTGACTTACACTTTCCTTTCATTGTACTTAGAACTCCTAAAATCACTTGTTCAAGATGGTCTCCTTCACAGATTCTAGGATGTGTGAAGGCAGGAACATATTCATTGGTCCAGGTTTGTATCCCCAGTGTCTAACACACTACAGAGAAGGCATCCAAAGGATATGTGGTGAGTTGTATTAAAATCTGAACAACTGGGAAGACGGGAGGTGGGGGCTATTAAAGTCAACAAGGAACATGGGAAAGGACTATCAGCTGTGACCCTTACTCCTGATATATCAACTTGAGTGTATTAAGAAATGCCTAGCAGATTGGTACAGCATGGTGCTGGGTGGGTCTGTGAATGACTGACATGTAGGACAGCAAACTGAGGAAAGAAGACCCACCCTGAATATGGGAAGAACCAACCAATAGATTTGTAGGTTGGATGTCATGAAAAGGGAAAGGAGAAGGAAATGTTCCTGCTTTGGAAACTCTACAGTGACTCTACAGTGAACTTCCTGGCCTTTGATCTTGGGCTGGTGCTCTACCTTCAACCCTTCTTGTGCTGTAGCTTCTATCTTCTTGGGCTGAGCAGCTATTGGATCCCCCAGCTTTCCAGCACACAGACAGCCATTGTGCCTTCTCTGCAGTGTGTTAGACACTGGGGATACAAACCTGGACCAATGAATATGTTCCTGCCTTCACTCATCCTAGAATCTGTGAAGGAGACCATCTTGAACAAGTGATTTTAGGAGTTCTGCCTTCGATTCTGCAAACATCCACTATGGACCTCCTATCTGATCCTGCCAGGCTACCTAATAAATCCCTTAGCATTATTATACATATATTTTCTATTGATTTCGAGAGCCCTAACTAATATATCAATGTAAAAAAAGTGAAAAGAAAACCAATTCAAAGTCTCATGTAGAGGAATGCCTACATTTTCCTGGTTGGAAGAACATGAAACAGACAAGAACACTTAGAAGGGACCATTTACAAAGCAGAAAGACAAGACAGGACGTGGAGAAAGCAGTGTTCTAGAAGTGAAGGTGAGAAAGGGTTAAATTTTACTTACTTCAAAAGCTTCAAAGGCAGTAGACAGAGGTTGAAGAAAACATAATTCTATCCACATTTACAACCTAATTATCTGTTAAAAGAAGCTAGGCACAGCATGAATGACTCAAAATATTCAGCAGTTTCAGTTTCCCCCACAACCATTGAATATCTTTAAAAACCATCCAGCAAACGAAAAAGAATCCCCAAAAACAACAAAACACAACAGCTGCCAAACAAACAGAACAGATTAGTTTTCATCTTACTCTCCGACGTAAAAGACATACTGAGAAAAACATAAGAAAACTCAAAAAACCCAGAAAAACAGAAAAAATTAGGGATATAGATATTTATACAGTTGTGAATGGCTCCATATCATCCCTTTTCACCTCCTTGGCTTCTGCCAGGCATATAAAGGAGTCAGGACTCTGAGTCTCTTGGAAATCTTTAGCCTAGATATTCTTTTTTTTTCTCTTTTTTTCTTTTTTTTACCAGTACCGGGAATTGAACTCACAACCTTGTGCTTGCCAGGCAGGCACTGTGCCGCTGAGCTAAATCCCCAGCCCCTAGCCTAGATATTCTTAACCTTGGATCTGTGGGTTGAATACATGAGTATCTACAAACCAAGATTTTTATTTTATGTTCTCTAATCTCTAATTAAAATTCAGCATTTATTTATGAAGATAGGCAATAAATTATAAGAATACTACCAGAATCTGTGATTTTTGGCACCAGAAAGATTTTTTCATTCTTTTCCTGAAACAAGATGGCACCTTCTACATTGATCTTAACAGTCTGAGGAGAAGAACTGTACAGAAAGAGTAGATAGCCATGTTTTACAGAAAGTACAGTGTTTCCAAGGTGGTCTGGGACATTCTCTACAAAGCCTCCTTGTTGAAATATTTCAGCCTTCTCAGGACAAGGAGTGACAGCTGAGAATCTGGGAAGACCTGCAGAGTTTATGCTTTTAGTAATGTTGGATCTTGTTTGCTGAGGCCAATGGAGAAAAAAAGAAAATTATTACCAATTTTCTAACAATGGACTTCAGCAATCTTTCAACCTCCCCAAAGCAGTTTGCCCTGAATTTTCACCAAAAAACGCTGCCCTGCAAACATGACAGCCTTTCACAACTTATAAAGATGTCACAGTGGGGCCATTCAGCCTATAATCTTATGATGTAGAAGCTGAGACATG